TATACTGGTTCAACTGTTGAATATTTACTTGCCACACTATTATGGCATGGGGGCTTAGTCAGAGAAGATGACAGTCTGGTGTCAGTTCTTCAGCTTTAATATAAATTAGCTTTGTGTAACAGCACATATCATTTTAGGAAATGTGTTTCCATGCTAACTCCCAAACTAATTAACAATAACCCCAAATATTTCAGAAGAAAAACAAAGCGGAAACAGGTCTGGAGGTTATTTTTGTTTGTTTGAATCAGGATGCCAAGTTGCTCTAGAAACTATTTACAAGAGATAGAAAAAATAGCTGTCTTGACCATTGCTAACGCTTGCTTGAGCAGCTGGGAGCTATAGTCCAAAATGTTAAATGACTATTTCAACACATAGTAATATAGGAAATGTGACACATAAACCTAAATATTCCCAATCAGCACAGTATTTCTCTGGACCGAGAGAGTGAATTTGGTTCTGCTTGATGTTTCTTCTTGTCTTCAAAGTCCAATCATTACTCCCTACTCCCCAAATCCATTTACTGGTGGAGATAAGTCTCTTCCATCTTCACTGATAAAATCTGGGACAAAGGACCAGGCTCAGAAAACATGCTTCTTTTAATGCTGCCTTCTTCAATCTAGCTCTCTCCAAGTGTATTAGACCACAATTCCCAACATGACCAGAGAATATATATGAGGGGATAGGGATAAGAGGAGTTATAAGAGGAGTATAGCACAGCAAATCAGGAAAACAGCAGGCTTTCAAAGCTCTGAGACTAATCCTGAGATGTTCTTCCTATTGAGACTCATGCAGGGGGCTGCATTAAGTTGTCTGGTTCCCCTCCCACCCTTGGTCAATGAGAGAATGTAGCAAGGGAGAGAGAGTTGGATAAAACGGAATAGTAGCTAGATACCCATTGTGCTAAGAGTGAAGCACAATGGAACCTCCCACTGCTCCCAATTGACTGTGAGCCTTTGTGTTCATGTGTAGAAGGCCTGCCAGGTAGGGAAGCTGGAGATCCAGAGTTAGGGTGTAATACAGTCTCTGGAGGGCAGGGTTAGGGAGGGCAGTTATATCCAAGTAGTGACAGGCAGGGGTCATTATGACAGGAGTCAGAAAGCAGGCCACATGTGGGGAAGATGCTCCCAATGTTTATTACTGGTGGTATCTTCTGGCCATTTGCACTCACACCGAGGCCTGGCAATGGGACCTGGGGCTTTTGACTGCTGCTGCTTAAAGCCAGGTTGATCAACAATAAAGCTCTTATTTGTGACCTACAACTGAGGATCAGGCCAAACTATTATGTATGACTGAGATCTGGTTGGACTGATAGGTAGGGAGGTTTCCCTCTTTGAAATATACCAACGGGGTTTAAGTTCTGGCACCAACTGAAAGTCAGGAGAGGACAGGTAGCAGGATCCAGGAATCTCTGGTAGTCATCAGAGGTACAGTCAATTGTGAGACCCTTTCCTTGAAGTTAGACTCCTAGGAGCAGTTGGGATTGTACCAGCCTCCCTGCTGCTTTGCAAACCTACCCTACCAAAGCTGCTGGAGGTGATTGGCAGGATTGCCAGTGGAGTTTCCCAGACTCATGTTTTTTGCAACTCTTCTTTACTTCTTGTGGCTTTTGATCCCATCAACAATGGTATGTGTGTGTATATATATGTTTTCTTAAGTTTTCACGGGTACTTACATGTATGGCATTCAGCTTTGTTTGGGTATTTTCCCACGTCATTGTAGTTGTGCTTTTAAAGTTGTAGCAACATTTCGGCAGAATCTCATCTGCCATCATCAGTCTTCTGTATTGTGTTCGTCTGTGAGTCAGACTTTTACAGGTAAAAGTCTGACTCATAGATGAACACTATACCAAACAAGCTGAATGATTTTGAGCTTTAGGCAAACAAGCTAAAATTAAAATGTCCCTTTATGAACAAGTCTGCAAGGAAGGTGCTACAATTGGGGATTATCAGATGGCCATGTTTGCTGTTACATTATCTCTAATCCATAATTTTTTATTTGATTGGACCTGGCAACAGCTGCCTACATCTTTGTCACCTGATAAATTTTTGGAAATTGTCTGGAAGTTATATGTGATACAGAATATGGCTACATATTACATCTATGTTAAAAGCTCTTATCCTGATGATTGTTTGGGGGCACAATTTAAAAGGTTCAGCTCCTAGTCAAAATAGTGAGAGATAGTTTGTATTAATATACATGATTATAAATATCCTACTTAAAAAGTTGCCCTTTAATTAAAATACTGTATCTGATGGGGTTATGCTAATCAGTCCACACCCTGCTGATGAAAGCCCAGGCATGCTGGGCAGGCCATGTTACAAGGATGCCAGACCATTGCATCCCTAAACAGCTCCTCTATGGCGAGCTGTCTCAAGGAAAGCGATCACAAGGGGGACAAAGGAAGTGATACAAAGACATTTTGAAAGCCTCCTTCAAGTCCCTGGACATTGACACCATCTCCTGGGAAACCCCGGTACAAGATCGATCAACATGGTGCATGTCGATTCACTAATTCACATGTTGATCCGCTGCCAGACATTTGAAGACAAAAGAACTACTACTTCACAAAAGCAGCGAGCACTCCACAAAGCCAGAGCTGCAAATGCTCTAACAATGGTGCCCACACATGTCTGTACGACATGTGACAGAACATTCCATGCCCGTATAGGCCTTACCAGCCACCTGTGGACACATCATGGACAGCCCACAACCTGTTAGATGTCAAGATGTTCAAACACGATGGACGGACATCATAATCATGCTAAGGCACAGAAGAATATGAACTGTGGAAGTGAGTGGTCGATTTCCTTGTTTTGCAACTGAGGATAGCTCAAATGATCAAAACATACTTACAGGATTTAAGTTCATATAGATATATCAGTACCAATTATGCCTCATCTTTGGAATTGTTTTAAGTCTCCTTAATATAACAAGATTCAGCTTACTTCAGCATTTGCCAGGAAGACTTCAGATGGCAAAATCCAATTTGTTTTAATAGCCACTGGCAACATACCATTTTCTTCACCACATCAGCAATTATTTTTCTAAATACAGCACTAATGGGCAAAAAAAAAACCATTATAGTACTGGATGTTGTAACACCAGAAGGGCAAGATTTTATAAAAGTTAACATCTCTATAATCATGTTTTAGAAAACTGAAAACAGCTAAACCACAAAGGAAAACACACACACACACACACACACACACACACACACACACACACAGCCACACATACATAATCATCTTTCCCTTCTTTTATCTCACAGATCTCTGTAACAAACTGGTTGCTAAAGAAATCTGATCAAATTGTGACACCGTGTTTTGAAACTCTTCTTGGAGTTCATTTGAAACTTCAGCATAACAAGTGGCCTCTTATCTGTGTACTATTCCAAGAAGGAAGGCATGTTATTTTGTCATCCCAGCTGAAAAACTAGCTGGCTTCGCACGTAGACCCAGGGAGAAGAGAGACAGAGAGTGAGCTTGCACACATACTAGTAAACAATGGTAACCAAACCTCTTTCCTTTTCCCACTGCTGCTGTTATTGCTTACTGGAACTGGAATGCAGGAAGAAGTATGGCCCAGATTCCTAACTTAAAGTCAATGTTTGACTTTTTATTTGCTTTTAACCAGTTTATTCTGTGGTAGCATTCTTGTTCTGCCTCTCCCAGCTGAATATGGATGCATTCATCTCTCACCGAGGTCATGCACACTTTTTGACAAATAGACCCACTGAATTCCTATGGAGAACTTATGTGAGCAATGCTTACTCATTCTTAGTGCTGAGGCTGATAAACATTTCACTGAAGTGGGGAAAGGCAATGCTGCTTTTTTCAAGTTAAAAATAGTCTTATGTAATTTGGAGATATGCAAAATTAGTTGCAGGAGAGGATACCATTTTGCTTCTTCCTGTGTCAGTAGATGGATCAATAGTTCTAACCAGCCCAACCTACATAAAGAAAGGTATTTTTAAAAAACCTATTATCTAGATATAGTGGCTAGGATCTAATACTAACTTATCCCGGGATATGTTAGGCTTTGGCTTAGTGTGGTATGTAAATACTGCTGGTGTGGAAAATTATGTTTATAGCTTAGTATATTGATTGGGTTGAGAGGAAGCAATTCTGCATATATTGGGCATGAAGTCACTGAGAGCATGACTGGTATGCTATAAAGAAGTTCAAAGAAGGCATGAGATAGCTAGAGCCAAGTCTTTATTTCATCTAAAGAGGGGCTGTTTTGAGGTTAAAATAAGGGGAGATATTCAATGTATTATTCTGATCCAGAGAAAATCCCAAGGTTAAAACATAGGTATAAATACATAAATAAGTAAATGCTTAGCATCTTCAACTGGATTAATAAAAGGCAAGAATAAATAAGATCATTGGAATAATTATGAGAATAGTAATGGCCAGAAAAGAATAGTTAAGCTTGATTGTTGAAGAAAAACATTTGACTATTTAGAGAAAATGAGTTTACACTTGTATGGTTGTCACTATTTCCAAAATTAATCATGTGTAATACTTTGCAATCCAAAAATAAATTATCTATGCCCTTTCCCAAACAAAAAGCTCTTTTCTGAACTTTGAAGCTGAACTACATTACCAAAGAGAAAAGGCTTCATTTTTGAAACATGAGTTTGAAACTTTCATATTTATGTGATGAGAATTATGTCACAAAGTTAATCATTCCCAGGATATAAACATTCAGGCTAATGAAAAACTTCTTGTGCAAGCAGTCATTAGTCAGGAGCATAACATTGCATAATGCTTTCTAAAACATGTGTTATATGATCAGAGTACAAGGCTATATAATACAGACAAGTGTTTATGCCATATGCTGACCTTTCCTAAGACAGAAATGGATCCATGTGACATGCTCTTCTTGCCAACTTCATGCCAATAATTAAACTTGATGAGATGAAGGAAGACAAAATAGTCTTTAAGAAGCAGCTTTCAAGTTTTTATGTTCTGTCGTAATAAATGTAACCATAGTCATGTTGTCCACTGGGAACTTCACTTTTTAAAACTGGAAATCAATAAAGACTTCAAATGGTTTCTCGCATTTGTAGGAGAGAAAACACATACTCCTATAGATACATATGCACACACATACACTATCGCACACAATTGCTTTATTTGCCAAAGAAGTAAAAAGGTCAGAGGAACAAAGACAGCCAAAAGAATGCAAGGCACATCAAATCTCAGCACAGAACAATGGTGTTTGAAGTTCTTGAGCAATAACATTAGCAAGAAGCTGTTACTTAATCTCCTACCAGTATTACTGAAAAGAACATTTGCGAAACCATTCAGGCAAGCATGCTGTAATTATAATAAAAAGGGTTTTGCAGCACCAGATAATTTTAATTCTTTGCACAAATACTTCTTTAGACCTAGCTTAATTAGGAAGAACAAAGCCATGACTTGTAAAAGAATCACATGCACTTAAAACTATTACAGATAGTAGATAGCACGTACATAGAAGTATCTTTACCTACTGATGGCATCCATTCTATTCTATGGAATCCTGAACACGTTGTTAAATGACTAAATTCCCACTGAAACCAGTCATTTCCCAACTTGGTATACTCCAGATATATCTTAGGAATTCCAGCTAGCTTTCATAGTAAGAAAGGAAGCTGCAACGAACTCACTGGGAATAAAGGCAGAATATAGATTTGCATTATAAGGAAACTCTGCTAACCCAGGTATACGTAGGCAGAAAATAGATTTAATATTGGAAAACCCTTTGATAATTTATAATAAATATTTCTAACTTTTTATCCATTTTAATTCATTATAATTAGACTGCACAGATGGAAAAACAGTTTAAAGAACCAAAGGCTTTTCTTTTGGTACTGATGGACAAACAGTTGAGAAAAAGTTATGGAACTTTGTTTTTGTATAGGGTAACTGCAGCAAATTATTGCAATCACAATGATGGAAAAAAATTGACTCTATTCACAATGGAGAATGGTTGGTGAGGATGATAGAACCTGCCTGAGATGGCTACATTTTCTTTGATCAGAAAAAAAATCTAATATTTATGTTTAAAGACTTTTTGCATGAAACAAAAAAAGGTGAACATGTGATTTATGGGTTTGATGATTTAATAGGATATATTTAATCAGGAAATGAGAGGGTTATGATGTAACCATCAAGAGGTAAATTTCTAATTGTATTTATAACTGCTGTAAAGAAGATCAAAAGCTACTTTGTATCTTTTTTTCTTTTCTATATTTCTTTTACACATTTTCCTTTCCTGCACTTTTAAATTCCCCCCCCCCCACACACACACACTTTTTTTTCCCCTTTTATATTACTGGTAGTTTGTATCAGTTATCTTACTTTTTAAAATCTTTAATAAAATGTAATTTTTTAAAAGCTGGAAAAAATGACAAATAAGAGTGCACTAGTCTGAAAAGATTTTGAGGTTAGTTTATAAATTGTTGGCTAAGGAGATGCTCAGTGTTCTGAATGTATAATCTGTTCTCTTCTCATATACTGCTTTCCAAGTGGTAGACACTGCTGTTCTAGGAAAATAATGTAGATCTAACAAGTTCTAAATCTGCCTGTTCTGTAGAAAACCATAATTTGTTACTCATATTATTCTCATATATTCATTATTCTCATACTCATATATTACTCAGGTAAATGTGATAATAGGACTCCCATCCATCCTCCATACTTTCCCCCCAAAATTACTTTTCCAATTGAAACTGGTAATAAGCTGAAGAAATTGATGATTTGTAATTTGCATTTTCTCCTACCAAAATAAAGCTTAATTTTCAGAGTGCATCCATAGTTTACAAATTTGTAATTTTTGAATTTGGCGATTAATACAGGAAAATGCAGTCAGGCTTCTTTTACCAGAGGCTGACTGGATTTAATAGAAAAGTATAATTCGGTTTGCAAAATTCTTGAAAAAAGAATGTGGGTTCCACATGCCCCAAATTTTTGAGAAATACTCAGCTGATAAAACTGATAAATATTGAATCAGAATGAAGATATTTATAATAATTTATTGATTAGCCCTGCAACATCAATAAAAGAAAAATAAAATGCATAATCTGGTTCCAGGATAAAAGAGATGGAATGTGATACGGTGATAAAATACATGTGATACAGTGAGTCAGCAATTAGTAATTAATAGATTCACTCCCTTGCAGGATACCTCAATTGGTTCAATGTGTCAGGTTCTTAGTTCAACTGCCTTAAAAACTAAGTAATTATATACGTAGGATAACCACGAGGAGGAATTCATTCAGAACTATGCAAAAGATGAATGACATGGGGCATAGAATGCAAAGAAAAATGAAATATCAAAATAGCTATAAAACAGGCAAGAAACAGCAAATGGCTCCTATGTTATAATCTGAATCTTTATGTATTCCTTTTTCTTTCCTATCTGCACAACAGTCATTCATGAGAGTCTCTGTGTGTGTTTGCGTGAAACATATACAGCAGTAACACAAAGAACTTCTTGAACTTGGACATAGTCAAATGGATAAGGTTCACTCAAATCCGGCTTGCCATTTCTCATTTCTTGTTGTTGCTTTTAGACAGACAATAGAGAAATAAAGCTTAGCCTTTCTCACATGATGTCACCCTTTAAAAATATCCATCACCTACTGGCAATTAACTTGGAAAAAATATCCCCCGTCCATTTGAAAATATTTTTTTAATAAGAGAAAGAGAAGGGATGACAGAAGAAGTCATGTAAGAATGAGACTTGTGGCAGAGTGTTTTCCTCACATTTGGCTTTAATTTCATATAATTATCCATCTACTCCTGGCCCATCACTGCAAAACTGTGTCTACCAGCATGAACCCCTCCCCAACTTCCACTTAGTGGGATGGGATTATACATTTTAGACATGACTTCTGATGTCAACAACAGCTTCATCCAGGAGCAATTGTCCAAATTTCTCTTCCTTTTTTAAATTAAAGTGGGTTGTTTTTCATCAATGGGAATTATAAGCCGGTACAAAAATACAAGAGTGGTTTCTCTTGTCTAGAATTAAATTTAATAATCTTGGAAGAGTTAATTGACAGAAATGCTTGAACGAAAAGTATGCATGCGGATGAAATGTTGAAACTGAGAAAGGCAGTTATGCAACTTCTGTTTCATCACTGGAACAATTGGATTTTCAGGAGTATTTCACGTAGTGATATGAAGTGTTAATGCTGAATCTTTCTCTGTCTTCCAGGCTCCCAGCCAACTTATGTTTGTCATTTCAATCTTTTTTTTTCCTTCTCAACCAGCTGGGAAAATAGTTCGAATATCTAAAGCTAGTAAATGGAAATACCAATATAAGCCAAATACCTTAAAATGAATTAAGTACAATTCACCAAAATAAGCATGTTCTTAAAAAACTGAAAAACATCTGGTATTTAACTGGATATCAACATTGCAAAATTTGGAATCTTCTTCCCAAATTCATTATAATAACAAGAATCCTCCTGAGTCCTTGTGAACTACAAAAAGGGACATTTTATCATACTTGGTGGACAAGTAAAAAGCTAAAAAATGGATTCAAATACTGTAGATACATTGATTCAAAGGATTTTAAAGTAAAAGTAAAATAAACAATTGTGATCAAAGGCTTATATATTGAAATTGACAGGCAGTTTGAAAAAAGTCATGGAACTTTGTTGTTGTATATTGTGTATCCAAAACTTGGAAAGATTCAGCATTATCCACAATAGAAGAATGGTTGGTGAAAATGATAGAACTTTCTGAGACGGCCAAATTGACTTCTTTGATAATTAGACTGGCTAGATTATAGAAAGAGAGTCATGTTGTTTTAGAGTACAAAGGCAAATTTATAATTGTATTTTTAATTGTAAAGAAGGGTGGAAGCTATTTTGTAACTTTATTTTCTATTTTTCTTCTACCTTTTACTTTATTTTCTCTTTGATTTCTTATTTTTATTTTTTTCATTATATTAGTTTATTTCACTTTTTATTTTCCCTTTTTAAAACTATATGCAGTGGTTTTGTTTAGATTGTTTTGGCTATAGAACATGGCCCATTTCCTTTGCAATTTTTTTCTATAATTTGATGTATAAACAATATATTTACATAGTTTTGCTCATCACATCAGTAAGATAAATTCGGTAAACAGAAATATGAAATATGAGTGGAAATCCCATAAAAGATCAAGGATCTTTATTTTCCAATAATACCAAATATCTTTATGATGTCTTGCTGCAAATCAAGTTTTCTCATAGTGAATTTCACTTCTATTTATTTGATTTTCCAAAGTTTCATAACAAAAACATGCAAATATAGTGAAATAGCTTAAGAGGCCATAGCATTTTTTCTTGGCAACTATGGCAAGCAGTAAATCCAGATGTGTAACTCACCTAGTGATTACATATTGACAAGCCATTGTGCTTCAAAGCTACAGGTACTCTAAAGATTACGTTCTACATATCACACTGGAACAATGCAATTAAGAAAAATTAGCAGTTCATAATCCATGCTTTGATTCTATTTGATATAATTAATCTAAAAGAGTTAGCATTATAAATAATATATTAATTGGATATTCACTTTAGCTAGAAGTGAGGTGATGGTTTGGATTTTTTGAATGAGAATAAATCCCCTTACTTGCACGGGGTCTAAGAATAACTTTTTTTTTTTTGCCCCACCTGATTCTTTTCCCCAGAAAAGCTTAAGAAGATTGAGAAATTACTTTGCTTTCAGGTTAACATGGTGGGTGCAAATGGAATCAGTACAAAAGGATTATGTACTGAATTGTCAGCTTAACAAATTGTAAGGCCCCTTCTTTCTAGCAAATGATTAACCGAATAAATTAAACAAAAAGGAAGAAACAGAGGATAAATTATTGTCTAATGTGGATAATCTTTCCCCTGGAATTCATTACACCTTAAGATACCATGATATTTAATGCACAGAAGTGAAGGCTGCAGATACAAGGGCTGCAAATAAATAGCAACATTCTTCTTGTGAAGGAAAAATGAGATATGTGTAAATAATTTCCTTGAATCAAAATAATTTTTAAAACATAGGCATCAAAATGACTAAATATTACAGTTTAGTAGAGATATTTTTGTATTCCTTTATAAGCAATTCTGATGAATGACATTCAACATGCAATTATCATAATTTATTATTTTTATACACTAGATGTATTTAGTCTTGAGTGATGTCTGTGCACTTAAGTATATTTAATTGGATGCATGACTTTATTAAACGTTACATCTTACACAATGAAAATAGAATTTTAATATTTTGGGGGACTTTTTCTTTCTTTCTAAAATTATAATAGATAAAATGGTCAGTCAGCTAGCATAGTGATAAGTCCACTGAAGTATTTTAATCAAAAAGTGGAATGTTGAATTTAAGGATATTTATTTCATTTTGATTCATTCTTATATTTATTACTGACATGCAACATACAAAATTACATATAATTTTTCCATACTAGGCAATGCTATATAACAGAATATGTAAACAAAAAACTGATATACACTGCATTCACAGATGAAACCTCCTTCTAGTTCATGTAGTGGGTAGAACAAGTTTCCCTACAAAGGTTAGCATCCAACTTAGCCGAAGACAAAAAGAAAATAAAAAATGTGGGCTTCATCAATATGTTTAATGCTTGTAGATGATATTAAAAAACTGACAATGAATCCAGATAAGATGTTGGTTCTACTGTTTAAGATGGAAGGGGATTGCACAGAGAGAATGATAATATATTAAGTTAGGCGCATAAGAATCCTTATAAGCCCCTCTATTTCTTTGAAGAAAGCAAAGATTGGCCATAGTCATATGATCTTTTGTTAATTTTAGCTGTCTAGAAAGACTTAGGCTTTCTGGTTAATTGCAGTTTTTCTCTCATCATTTTCTTTAAAAAAATTTTTTTTTAAATGAGGTGTTGCCTTAAAAACAACTTGTATGAATCCCTAAACTGTAAATTATAATACAGATAGTCTTCAACTTACAACCACAATGAAGCCCAACATTTCTGTTGCTAAGCAAGGCAGGCGTTAAGTGAGCTTTGTTCCATTTTACAATCTTTTTTTTGCCAGTTTTTAAGTGAATCACTGCAGTTGTTGTAACACAGTTGTTAAGTGAACCTGGCTTCCCTTTGACTTTGCTTGACAGAAGGTCACAAAAGGTGACCACGTGACTCCACAACACTGTGACCGTCATAAATATGAGTCAGTTGCCAAGCGTCTCAGTTTTGATCACGTGATCATGGGGATGCTGCAATTGTCTTAAGTGTGAAAAAATGGTATTTTTCCAGTGCTACTGTACCTTCAAACAGTCACTAAATGAACTGCTGTAAGTTGAGGACTACCTGTAAAACAAACAAAAAAATCAGTGCTGCTTCTTACCTTCTCGGCAGAATGCAGCTGCTTTCTAAAGTTGGAAGAATTCCAAGCAGACAGATGTTGCAGCACTAGCAATTCCTTTTTTTTGGAGTCATCAAGTGTGTAGAATCCTTGGCTTGCAATGTCACTTTCTCTGTAGCGATTTCAGTTTATTTGCCTTCCAATGAGGAGCCTTGTTTAGTAGGCAACACAACTGCAGAAAATTGTATGAGCAATTTCTGGACATGTGTAATGTAAGGTGGTAAGGTCTCCTATTATTATTATTAAATTAGTTATTAAGATCCCTATACATCCTTAATTAAAATGTACAAGTTTATAAGACAAAATGTCCTTGGATCCGTTTTGATTAGTATGTAGGGTAAAGCTATCTGATTTGTTAAATTGGGTTTATTGATGTATTTGCATTTATTCTTTTCATTCTGTTTTCATTCTTGGATTTAGTTAGAATGCCTGTTATTTCTGTGTGTGTATGTGTGATTGTGTGTGTGTGTGTGTGTGTGTGTGTGCATGCACGCGTCTGCATCAACAGGTAGTCTTTAACTTATGATCATAATTGAGCCCAAAATTTATGTTGCTAAAGGACACATTTCTTAAGTGAGTTTTGCCCTGTTTTATGAGTTCACTTGCCACAGTTGTTACAGTTGTTAAGTTAGTAACCCAGTTGTTAAGTGAATCTGGCTTCACTTTGCTTATTGGAAGGCTACAAAAGACCCATGACCCTTGGACACTGCAACATCATAAATCTGAACCACTTGCCAAGCATCCAAATTTTGATCATATGACCATGGGGGATACTGCAGTGGTCGTGTGAAAAATAGTCGTAAGTCACTTTTTCAGTGTCATTGTAACTTTGAATGATGCCTAAATGAACTGTCAACAACTACCTGTAGACACACAATAATAAACTCTTTGCCATTATATACACAAAAAAGCTCAAGTCATAATTTTTATGCCTCAAGTAAATAATCCCAACCCCGTCCCACCGTGCGCCTAATCTAAGTTTCAGTTTCTATTTTATTGTTAAAATCCTATGCTGGAAGCATAGCACAATTAGTATACTGAAGAATTCTTTACAATTATACAAGCTGTACAGTTGTTTCAAGAGTATATAAATATACTCCCAGTTGTTCTTTCATAAATTTGGGAAACATCATAAATTTACACATTCAGATGGAATAAAAATGCATTGCTGATCTACTGATAAATTTATTCAATATAATCTACAGTGTCTGGTTTATAGAATTATTTTGTTCCAACAACAGAACGCCTACATTGTTTAGTCTCTTTAGGAATGTATATATTTAATTGATAAGATATACAGTTCCAAGATGTGGAATAAAGTGCTGTAGAATTTTGTTGACCTTGCAATTTCACAGAAAAGCCTTCAGGACATATACATTATATATATCAAACTATGTGTATTTACATTTACTTCCATAGTTGCAGTAGTCCACATTCTGAGGCAAAAAGTAAACTAAAAGTCCTTCCAGGAGCCTTTTATTTCAATTGCATTTTAAAAGAAGTTTTTCTTACTCTCCTTTGTAGCGAGGAGGTCTTTTCTCTTTAAAAGCAAGAAGACCTTCAATTCTGTCTTTTGTTGGGATAGTCTACAAAGAAGAAAATCTTTTTCAGTTCTTGTAAGTTAGTTAACATTTACATGCAAACATCACCCAAAGATATGAGTGTGTAGAAAGATAAGAAAAAGTGTAAGCTGAGCCATGATTACAAAATGTTTGCAGCTGTTGTAAATCAATCATGCTCCTCTATAATCAAAGCTTTGCTGGTTATCAGGGACAGGATAAAACTGAGAATAGTGGCTCATATTTGTTTGTTCTGAACTGAGAATCTCTCAAGAAAGAATGTACAACATATGTGACAATTAATTTTGCGACAAGGATGTAAAGTGTGGTGTGGCTTCTTAAAACTGGTCTTGCAGGAAAATTAAATACTTCTGCAAGTTTCAGTTCTGAATAAGATCATCTTAATCAAATCAATCAATCACAATTCATGTAAGGCAGAATTAGTATAGTGCACTCAAGAATAAAGAAAAAGCCTACCTCCTGTTAAGTCATAAAAACCTCCCAGATATTCTTAGGGTATAAGAATTGCATTGGCACCCACAATTTTGCTGATCTATTTCAAGTTATTATTCAGATTACATAATTGTTAATTTGATAAATTTCAATGGGAAAATAACACAGTGGTGAGGAAGACTCTTCATGAAGGTCGAGATTACCAACTGGCCTGTAACTCAGAGGGTTGGTAAGTAGTACAAGGAGAAACAGAGATGTTTGTCCCAAAAGTGCTTTTGCAAAAGGCAACTAGACTTTGCTTTTCCTTGAAGTTTTGTTTCTCACCCAAGAATCTTCTTCAATTCAAGAAACAGAACTGAAGAAGCTTCTTGGATAAAAAGTGAAATGTTTTCAAGGAAAAACAAAATCCAGTTGCCTTTTGAAAAAGCACTTTTTGGACAACCAAGACTTGGACCTTTTGGACCTCAGGGACCACCAAACTCATAATTTTAAATCCCGGGGACCACTAACCAGTTCTGTGGATGTGGCCTAATTTGTGGGTGTGGCTTGGCGGTCTTATGACTGGCTGGGCATGGCTTATATGTAAATATTATATATATTTATATAAATATTGAATTTTTTATAAAAAAAGAGCAACTTTTACCCAAAATCAGGCAAAGCAGGCAGGCAGATTGAGTTGCTCACAGAATCATTCAGAGATCTATCTATCTGCCATCGGCTAGCTCAGTCTGTCACATAAAATTTGCTTGCCGTGAGTCTGCACTGATTAATAGAACCTTCAGTCCTAAGGGAGGTTCGGCTGTGCTTCAAAGCAGACCCAAAGATTAAAAGACTAGCTAGAAAGCAAGAAATCCAACCATTTCCTGCTTCCAAGCTAATCTAAATCTCCTGGCACAGCAGAACAGCTGATGGTCGGTAAAATAGCAATTTAGCAGGCAAGTTTGCCAGGTAAGGAGTGAGTGGGCGGGGAGGGTTCCTGTGGACCATGTGGGTGGTGCAGCCTTGTGTTTCTGTGCAGACTAGATTAATTGCTTTGGGGAGGTGCTCCCAGGGTGAGATTTCTCTGCGGCCCACCAAAATTTTCTCGTGGCCCACCAGTGGGCTGTAGCCCACCGGTTGGCGACTACTAACCTGGATGATAGAGAATCTCCACAGAAATGTTTGTATTATGAAGCTGCATTTCTAAATAATACTGGCATCACTCAAAGAACTAGGCCAAGGGCTAATTTTTAAGAACATAACTGATTCAAGAAAATAGGTGTTCATTACAATATGAGCACTCTAACACAGTAAATGTGTACATATTAATCTGGAATTAAGTCCTATTTCTAAGTAGGCATATATACAATTAAACAGTATATATACAATTGAACAGTAAATGAGTAAATGAGTAAAGTTCTTATCCAAAAAAGTGAGGTGCATGAGGTGCAAAGCAGATATTCGTTACTCCTCATCAAAACTGAACTATCAACTATTACAGTTTGATATTGGGTGAAGACGATCACCCAATATTACCAATATTTAAACATAGGAAATAACTGGAGGAAGCATTTTGTAAGGCATCAAGGAAGGATAATTTTAATTTCATACCTGAGCATAACAGGCTTCTTCAATTGCTAAACCTGTTAGCAGATCTACCTAAATAACAACAAAAGTGGAATAAATTTAAAACAGTGTTGAAAATATTTGGCATACCAGTTCAAAAATGAGTTGTTATCCATAATAATAATCGTTTCACCTATACTTCAATGGAATCTTAGGTTCAAATTTCATAAGGATGTATGAAATCAGTGGCAGGTTCCAATAGCTTTCATCTCTGGTTATGTTTGGTGGGATTAATGGACAGGTTCCTTACCATTAAAGTATAAAGATGTTGTACTTACAAGGGTTTTGTGGTCCTAATCTAATTGTATTATTGTGGTAGGCCACTGAAATTTTATTTAGAGTTTTATTATATGGAAAATGTGTCCCAATTACACACAAATCCAGTTAATGTCTTCGAAGTACTTTTAACAAGATGTCAACATATTATTCCAATAATTTATATTCTAACTCCTACATGATTCATACTACATTCCACTTTATGACTCATATGTATAATAGTAAAGTCACTGATATAATATTTTAAAAAAAGTAATCTACACTAAAGAATCACATAAAACATTTATAAGGCCAGAGGGGATAAGTAGGCATAGTGAAATGAAATATAAGAAAAATATGAGAAATCAAGTGATCCCTAACATTTTCCCACATTTTAACAGCAATTCAATCTTAGCCAAATTTAAAACAACTAAGTGCGTGTAACAGGATATATTCTCCACGTACAATTAAGGGCATTCAAAGCACCATTTGAGATTTCCATTTGAGGAACTCTTTCAACAAAAATTCACAAATACTTTTGCTGAGTACATTTACTGTATGCTTATATGCTTCTCATATTCCTTAAGAACTCTGGGATACAAAACTACCTATAAATAACATATATACTTATATAAAGCAATACATAGATCAATATCATACTTTCAGAAAACCATATGACAAAATACATCAGAACATAGCTTTTGGTATCCTTTTTGAACTTTCTGCGTAAAGCAGAAAAATTGAAGATAGGATCTTTGGTTTTGACAATAAGGATTTTTAAAAAAATAAGAGACACAATGTAACTTTAGAGAAAAAGATGAATAACAAAATTATGTTAAAGAAGATAGCTTTTGGTCATGCTTTGTAAAAATAGATAAAATGATACTGTTCAGTAACATTTAAGAAGTCTCAAGGTATTACTTTATATTATAATTGTGCTAAAATGCATGTTTTCAGAAACCCGGTAAAGATAAACAAGAATATATATTTATCCAAAGAAAAATTTGCAAGTCCTGATAAAAGTATGTTGTGCTCAAAATACTCATTTGAAACAAACAAAGAAATCATAGCTTAGCAGATTTTCTAAAGTTAAGGAATAAATAAGCTGATTTATAGAGTTAACTCTTTTCAAATTCAGGAATAAGTAAGATGTGATAAGAATCTCACATATTGTTTTATGTGCAATAGGAGGGTAACATTCAAAGTTTTCCAATTCTGTGAGGCAATGAGACTAGAAGTATAGTAGTCAGGAAAAAAGTATGGATAAGATTCAACTTTCTAAATTTTCCATACTGTGCTTGACACAATACATCCAACTACCGTTTTATAGATTTTGATCCATATATATCAAGTATACAATTTCTGCATCTACTCTTCCCTTTAAAAGAAAAAAATTAAATAGTATGCACAAATAGATTTTCTTACTTCCATTCCTTGATTTATGGCCAATTTTGCAACTCTCATTGCTATGGGCCCCTAAAATTAAAAAGAAATGTAAGTTTCAGCATAGAAAATAAGGTTTGTGATTTTTTAAAAGGATTCAAATATCAACATTTCATTTTGTTATCTCAGAAGTCAATTGTATTAATTGTTACATTTAGAGGGAGGGAAATGCATGTGGACCATAACAGCATTTGAGGATAAGAATTAAAACCTTAATCTATAACTTCACTTTGACAAGCTGACTTCAGTAAACACAATACTGAATCTTTTATGTAGAATAGGTTTTGTACTCAAGGGCTTAAAACATATTTCATAACAGAATGAATGCTGTATCAGCAATCTGGAACTAATGATAAAAGTGCTGGATTAAAAATCAGATTATGAGTTGTAGTGCCTCTACAATGACCACTTTACAGGATTGGTATTGTGGGGAAAATAGGAGGAAGGAGGATTAAGTACACCACCATGAGTTTTATAAAATAAGAGTGATCTAAATCTATAAAATAGATATGTGCATGCATATGCAAAGCTGTATTTAGCAAGTTCATTTATTTCTATTTGTATTTCTACATGCGTTATAATAATTTTTTACCAAGATTAAAAAAGAAAGGCACTGCAATTTTTGTAAGACTTTCTATGATATAAAATCTGTAATTTGTTGGCCGGTTTCATGGCACCTGATTGATGTATAAGAGCTGAATTCCTGAAAAGTAAATTTGGCATTTGGAAAGTAAATATCAAATAGAGCACCAAGATGAGAAAGACCTGTCTCTGAATATTTATACAGGAAAACAAAAATAGAAAAGGTTTCTTGGCTGCAAATATACTACTGCAATGGTCATCTATCAATTCAAACAAATGTATAAGTAGAAAGGTTCTTTCTAATCATCACAATGTGTCAGAAAAAGCAATGGTCTTTCCATTTCCTATGTTGGTAAGTGAAGATGAGAATAAATTTTCATGGCCACCTAATATCACCAGGAGGAAAGCTGCCAATCCTGAATGAGAATCAAGCAGCAATAGCCAGAGCAAACCATTATGGCTCCCATTATCAGTATGGAGAATGATGGACCTTGAAAAACCAACAAACTTCAGTCCCAGTGAAATGGTATTGTACTGGCCAAACCAAATTAAAAATGAAAAGCATCAAAAGAATAAAGCATGTGTCAAGCACAGGAAATCAGGAGTCCAGATAGTTCAAATGAATATAGGTTTATTGTACACTAACACTATCTATAAGAATTTGAATTAACAGTAAAAGCAAATTGGCAGTAGATAAGAGTCAACGGAATTCAAGGTTACTTGACTTAGATCTCTTGTGGGTGTGAAGGGACTTGAGAACTGACAACAGATTTGATCCCTTCCTTGGGCTCAGCCTGATCATCCTACACAATGTTTTGAATGGTGTTCAGGAACAGGGAAAGCAGACTATTTTGAATGAAAAAGGTACCTGAATAAAGGACTATCTTGTTCTATGGAAAATCAGGAACGCCCTCATCAACATACATACATACATACATATACATACATACATACACACACACACACACAAAATTCTGTATCTCAATGATTTGATGTCACAAAGTTGATGTGATAGGGCATTGGTACTTACCTGACATGCCCGTTCTCTTTGAGATGTGAAGAACATCCAGTAGGGGGAGGTGCTTCAATCTCTGCATGTCTAGGCTGGGCTTAATTTGTGGAACGCTCCTCCTCCTCCATGGGACTCCTCCCCAGCGTTCCCCAGTTTTGGTGAAGACGAGAGAAATAAACGCCCTCGTCCTCAGTGCCCTAACAATTTGTTGGCTGAAACAGGACCCCACCAAATGGAAAAAGGGTGGGGCTGGATGCTCTTCACAGCTCAAAGAGAATGGGTGTGTCAGGTAAGTACCAATGGCCTTTCTCCCATGAGCTGTTCAGAGCATCCAGTAGTGGGACATACCAAAGCTTGGCCTGTCCTATGGGAGGGACTCTGTCTGGCCTGAAATCCCCTCCTGCTCCCTGTGTACCCATTGCAGAACTCTTCTGCCAAAGGAGGCCTCAGTGGATGCAAATACATCTATTTTATAATGCCTAATGAATGGCGATGGAGAGGCCCAGGTTGCGGCTCGACAAATTTCAGTTATTGGTGCCTGTGTGGCCCATGTTGCTGATGTTGCGGCGCTCCTTGTTGAATGAGCTGTTATGCCCCTGGGCACCTGCAGTGATTGAGTCTGATACGTTTTCGCTATCGCAGCCCGTGGCCAACGGCCTATTGTAGAAGGTGAGACCTTGCATCCCTGAATGTTGGGCTGAAATGACACAAATAAGGCTTCCGTTTTTCTGAAAGCTGCTGTGCGGTTAATATATATTCGCAATGCTCGCCTCACATCAAGCCTATGCCATTGTAGTTCCAACTCTTGGGATAGTCTGGACAAAAATTAGGAAGTATCAGCTCTGATGCCCTATGAAAAACCGAGTTAATTTGGAGTATAAACATAGGATCAGGATGAAGGACCACTCAGTCAGAATGGCAAACACAAAGATCTTGTCTGATAGACAAAGCTGCAATCTCCGAAATACGACGAGCAGAAGTGATTGCTACAAGGAAAACTACTTCATACGTCAGAAATTGGAGACTTGACTATTTCAAGGGTTCGAAAGGACCCTTAGTGAGTGCGACGAGAACCTTGTTAAGGTCCCAGGTGGGATAACAGTGTACCACTGTAGGGTGTAAAGTTGTGGGTCCTCGAAGGAAACTCCATATGCATGGATGATGGGAAAGAGATAGTAGGCCTTCACAAGTGAGAACTGACACCAAAGCCGCCACCTGTCTTTTCAACATATTAGGTGATAATCCCTTGTGAAGTCCCTCTTGCAAGAACTCTAGGATTTGAGCCACAGATGGAGAGATGGGATCAATTCGAGACTTGGTACACCATTGGCAGAAACTGGACTATGTGGCATTGTAAATGCGAGTTGTTGAGGGGCAACTGGAGGCTTGGATAGTGGTGATAACTCTGTTGGAAAACTTTTCACTCTTCAGACGACTCTTCTCAACCTCCAGACACTCAGGTGCAACCATTGAGGGTCCAGATGTTGAAGGGGTCCCTGGGTTAGCGAGACCCTGGCTGGCAGAACTCTCCATGGTGTTAATACGGATAGACTGTGGAGGTCTGCAAACTACGGCCGTCTGGGCCAGTAAGGAGCTACTAGAAGCAGCTCCGTCCTCTCGTCTAGCAGTTTCTGGATGACCTTGGGAAGCAGTGGAAGTGATGGGAATGCATGCAGAAGTCCCGGGGGCCAACGACAGCAGAGCGAACTGAAGTTCTCCGCTCCTTGCAAGGGGTATCTGGAAAAAAAATCTCCGGAGCTGGGCGTTGAGGGGGAAAGTGAACAGGTCCACCACCGGCTCTTCAAATGTCCTGACTGCCTCCTGAAACAGGGTTGGATGGAGGCGCCACTCCGACTGATCGGTCGTGGCCCTGCTCAGCCAGTCTACCTGTGTATTCGACAGGCCTGAAATGTGCTCTGCTTTGATGGAAAGTAGGTTGCTCTCCGCCCAACGACATAAGCATTCCGCTTCCCACATGAGATGTTTCAACTGTGTGCCCCCCTGTTTATGTGAGCTTTGGCTGTTACGTTATCGGTCAATATTAGTACGTGCTGATTGCATACCTGTGGAAGGAAGCTGAGGAGAGCCAGGTATACTGCTTGAAGCTCCAGCCAGTTTATGCTGCACGACTGTTCTATGACGGACCAGTGGCCTTAGGCTTTGAGCGATTGAATGTGCGCTCCCCATCCAAACAGGCTGGCATCGGTGGTGATGGTAAGTCTGTGTGGCTCTTTGAAGAAGAATCCTCTGTTGATGATTGGTCTGGTCCACCAGAGGAGAGATATGAGGACCTTTGATGGTACCTTGACCTTGTATTTGGAGTTGCTTCAGCCGGAGCGCTGGTATGGGAGCAGGAACCACTGGAGGGATCTAGTGTGGAACCAGGCCCAAGGGATGATAGAGATACATGAGATCATCTTGCCTAACAATTTTGATAGTTCCGCTAGGGATACCCTCTTAAGACCCCTGATCTCCTTAACTAATTGATGAATGCTATCTATCTATCTGGTTACATATAATTATATATATATATAGTTATATAATCTATCTGGTTACAGGTAAACTTTGCCTTCCACCATATCTATGACTGCCCCCAGATGGGTTAACCGAGTCGATGGTATTAAATGACTGTTTTTCCAATTTATTGAGAACCTGTGCTGTTGTAGGGATTGTAATGTGTTCTGGGTATCTCTGACTGCTTGATGAGCAGAAGATGACAAAATCAAGATTACACTGGAGTCGTATGGGGATATCACAGAGATGAGCAGCTAGCGCTGCGAGGACCTCCGTGAAGGTCCTGGGGGCAGAAGCTAGTCTGAAAGGAAGGGCTACATATTCAAAATGGTGGTTATTATTACAGAATCTCAGAAATTTATAGTGGGAAGGCCGAATAGCAATATGTAGGTACGCCTCCGTCAGGTCTATGGACATGAGGACGTCACCCTTTCTGATGCAAAGTAAGATAGATTGTAGGGTGTGCATTTTAAACTTGCGATATACTAAGAAACGGTTGAGACGTTTCAGATCCAATATTGCTCTCCACCCCCCCGAACTTTTGGGAACAACAAAAAGATGTGAATAGAAACCTCGCCCTCATTGGTTGGTGGCTACTGGTTGGATGGCTCGTATGTCCAGTAGGCGTTGGATAGCTGTTTCCATGAGATTACGTTTAACCGGATCTCTGGAGAGAAGGCATGACATGAAAAAACCTGGGGGAGTGGATTGAAACTCCAGCGCAAGGCCAAATCTGATCATGTCTCTCACCCAGGAATCAGAGGTTGAGGAGTCCCATTGGTCCACGAATAATTTAAGGTGTCCGCCAATGGGGGTTGGATCCAGGGAGTTATCTTGGATGCCAAAAGGACCTGTTTCCTGCTCCCCAAAAGGATCTCTTGGATTGACCACCCTGTCTGCTCCTATCCCCGAAGTCGGACCTGTCTGGCTGCTGCCCTCGTCTGAATGATGGGGGTCTCTGGTATCTGGGTGAAAAGGATCCCTGGTAAAAGGGCCGAAAGGATCCCCTCCAAAAGGACTGAGGGTTTCTAGAATCTGACTTCCGAAAAAGGGAAGGAAGAATTTTCTTTTTGTTTCGGGTTTCAATTAGTAGCAGATCAAGGGAAGGGCCAAACAGTCTGTCTCCCACAATAGGAGATGAAGCCAGCTTGCATTTGTGCTTAAAGTCTGCCTGCCAATATTTTAACCATAGTAAGCGTCGCGCTGTGACATGTGAAGTAATGGCCCTGGCTGAAAACTTGACTGCATGATAAGTTGCATCAGCTAAGAATTCAGCAGCTGCTATAAGTTTAGCAATATCTTGGTGCGCTCTAAGGTTGGAATTAGGGACATGTTCCCATAATAGGCGGAGCCATCTAGAAGAACGGGTAAAGAAGGAGGCGTCCGTGGCTGCTCTGATGGCCCACGCATCAGACTGATGGGCTCTGCGTAGGGCTAGCTCAGCTTGTTTTTCCTCCGGCTTTAATGCCTCCAGCACTTCACTGGGAATGGAGGAGGACGCTAATCCCACTATAGGTTCATCTACCTCGGGAGTATTCAACAATTTTGAGAAATCAGGGGCCAAATTGAAATATTTCCTGTCATATCCAGTGGGGGCTGGGTACACCGCTGCAGAGGCCCACTGTTTCTGTACCAGGTCTGAAAACATGGGAGGAACTGGGATCACCTCTGCCTTGACTACTGGTTGGTTGAAAATTAGATCTTCTGGTCCCTCTTCTGAAGGAGCTAGAGTGGTAGAAGGGGTCGACTAGTTTAGGCGTGCAACGTTTTTTGCCTTAAACAAGAGAGATCTGAAAAGTTGTGGGTGGAATAAGCCTGTAAAAACAGGCTGGTCAGGAACAAGGCCCTCATCCTCAGATATTCCCCTTTCTAAGGGCTCTGCTTCTGACAGGGGCTCACTGTCATGTGTTGATCCTGATTCAATCTCTTCCATTTGATCAATTTGATCCACTTCTTCCTCTTGCTCCTCCTCAGTCAGCCCTTGAAGGGGGACTTCCCCTTGTAAATGTACCTGGGTATAGTGCTGCTCCGACCTGGTCAACGACTTCAGCGATTGGGAATCATAATCAGCGATCACAGAAGGTTCCCTGGTCAGAACTGTGTGTTGAAGACCTGCTGCGATTCCCTGGCGGATTGCCAGCTCCATCCAGGCCTTCATCCTCTCTGGAACTTCCTCTGGAAGAATGTCGTCCTGACGAAGACCGGCAGCCATCAGAGTGAATGTAGCTTCGGGAGCCCTTCGCGTGGGCGGTGTCCCAGGTACTTGGGCTTGTTGGCTCTGGTGAGCCAAACTGCTCCTGGATGAGAGGAAGAGATCTAGGGGAGGAGGAGGGTGGGAAGAGGTAGACAGACCTGGACTGGAGGAGGGAAAGTCCTGTGAGACTTTCTGCGCCTCCCGTGTGCACTTATCTATCTGTCTTTGTAAAGCTTTATGGCGCCTGATGGCATCCCTTTCTGAGGTTTTAGAATTCCCTTTAGCCTGCTTAGGTTTGTTCTGAGATTTGGCTTTGACCTTCAAGGATGAGGTCTGAGAGCTGCTACCATCTGCCATTTTGATTGAAGTTGGAATTGCAGTATGCTTGTTATACAATGCAATACTGTGAAGGTGGTTGGCATGCCCAGGGGCATGAACTGAGGACAGACTGGTTGCCCTGATGATGTTTTTATTGCCCCCTTCCCTCTTTTTTTTTGGAATAATACCTATCTATAATGAGTCGTATCTCAGTAATAATATTTTACTGATAAGAAAATTATTATTATTATTATTGTATTATTATATAACCACATAATATATATATATATATATATATGTATGTATGTATGTATGTATGTATGTATGTGTATGTGTATGTGTATGTGTATATGTATATGTATATGAATATTAATTAAATGGCACGATGCTAAGTGCTGAGAAACCAAACAGCCAAATTGAGAACGCCTAAAGGCCCAGATTGATAAGGGTAGAGGCCTTCAACAGCTTCCCTGCACAGGCAGACACAGGCCTAGGTGCTCGCTGTTGTGCCGCTGGGTTGATTGGGCTGTGAGGGTTAAGCCAACAAATTAACTGTAGGAATAGCCTCGAATGTAGAAAAAAAACCAAGACGAGGGTATAATGATCCCCAGTGTTCCTGAAGGGAACCTCTGCTCGGGACAGAGTTACCTCACACAGGACAAAATGGAATACAGTCAGTGCGGCCACAAGGTCTTTGTAAAAAAAGATGGCCTCTGGCCATTAATCTTTTGGCACGCTCCCCAGCAGCAAACTCCCGCCGTTTGAAGGAATAGTCTCCGATGGCTCTTCCTATATGGCTAAACAGCGGGGAAGGGTGGAAGGCACTAAGTGTTTGAATCCTCCAACCCAAGTGGCATTCAGAGGGGGAAGGAAAGCGATACAACTCCGTAGTGAGCAAGGAGCTCACGCCGCTATCCGGGTAGAGGAAACTCTGCGGCTATCTGTCGGAATAGCAGGGGTAGAAAGATCGGTTGTGGGGAGGGAGCGCGGAGGGGGTTCGGAGCAGCACTGAGGCCTCCCACCACTTGGGGGCACAAATTGGTGCTTCCCTGTCATGCGAGCGATCTCCGACTGCCCGATAAGGAGCCAACGTCGAGAGATCGCAATGTAATTAGAAGGCTAAAGGATTCTAAAGACAAGCTGATTAATTTTCAAACCTGCTAGCAAGGAAAGAATTTTTCCTGTTTCGGCCAAGGAAGAATCACAAGCACTGCCTATCTCTCATGAGGCTGAGCCAGAAACTGGGGAACACTGGGGAGGAGTCCCGTGGAGGAGGAGGAGCGTTCAACAAATTAAGCCCAGCCTAGACATGCAGAGACTGAAGCACCTCCCACTACTGGATGCTCTGAACAGCTCATGGAAGAAGACCCGGAGTGTAACACAAACATAACAAAATCCAAAACGTAAATAAATGTCCTTTAATGCCTCCAACTTGGCCCCACTATTCAATAATTCTCAGTTGGAGATAAACCTTATGCAAAAAATAGTCTTCAAAAGAAAGTAATACAGACTGAATGAGCAGATAGAGGTGAAATAAAAAAAACCAAAACAAACTACATTGAAGGAATTTCCACAATGGACAGGATAAGTAATTTCCAACTTCAAGGAGATAACAAGGCACAGTCTGTTGGAAGGATGCCAACCAAGATAATAACTTCAGCCCAAAATAAAACACGCTTTGCTTCTGGCAATGCTGTGTTTTAACCATCTCTCATATACTTTTCTGCCCAGTTGCAACCAATGAGGGAGATCATGGCTGCTTCCTCTCTCGTAAGCCAAGTAGTTTCCTTCTCCGTTCCTCCCTGCGTGTCCTAGGATGAAGAGGGGATGGGCCTGATTCTTCCTCTGACTGCCCAGATGGTCTCTGCCCTTCCCCAGCCTCCTTCACAACCTCCAGAGCTACACCTCCACTCCCTGTCGGCTGTTCCTCCTCCCTCTCAGAGTCCGACTCTAACAAGGGCATGACAGTTTATATATCAGGACTATAGACATTAATTCAAAGAGTTTCAACATTAAGAGAGAGAAAACAAAGAAAAGGCTGCATAGCAGAAGTGATGAGGAATCAGAAAATAAGGACTTTCTACTCTAGGACTTTCATGAAATGCTTCACTTGTGAGTTATGAAAAAGAAAAGAAGTGCGAAGAAAGGAAGGGACAGCTGCAAGATATACTTTACTGAAGAGCGAGCCAAATTTTGCTATTTCATATGCAAGATCCTACACAGGATTCAATTATGGTAGAAATACTATGGAGGGCTTTCATATATATTTTACTAATAATTGTCATCTATTGAAACAAAATGACAGAATAAAGAATATTATCCATTGAGACTGTACCTGAGGTAAAAATTCTCTCGCCAGGGCTAAAGCTCTTTTGTAGGCAGCATCCCCTGCTTCATTCTGTTCCACCACATGACTGATCAAGCCAATTGATTTAGCTTCTTCACCGTCAAGTACACGAGCAGAAAATATTAATTCTTTTGCCAGAGACACACCAATGGTACGAGGTAGTCGTTGTGTCCCGCCTGTAGTTTAGGAAATGTAAGAGAAAACTCAAATACTGATGCTATGGTGTATCATCATGTTTAATATATCAAGATTTAAAAGTGTGACTGATTAATAAGCCTAAGAGTGATTTTACTACTACAATTACCAACAGAGTAAGAGTTCAAGTACTTTAAGAAAATGCCTATAAATAAAATGCCTATAATAAAGCACAACATAATGCACACATTGTTTTCTTTCTCAAGGCAAGTACGCATATCCAATTTTAACAGGTCATCTCCACTCAGCAACTTTCCAACATAGAAAATAGACCAAACATATTTATAAAAATGCACATCTCATCAATAATTTAAGAAAATATATGTGCTGAAATTTGGCACAACAAAGTAAGTTTTAGTTTTCATTAACCAGCAAACCAGCAGTACTGTTTATTATCTAACATCAGCTGCAGTCAAACAGCCTATATTGCTGATGGATGTTAGGCAATGATAACATATAAGTAGTGTATACTTCTTTTCAAACACAGAAAATAATATTCAATCTTTAACTGAAGGACTTTCTGTCTGCTAACTCAGCCACATTTGTTAAATCCTGAACACTCTCCAGTTATGAAGCTGATATGGACGTAATCAAGAGGTGGGTCCATGCAGTGATTTCTGCTTTGAGGGAGTGGTTCTGCTGGCCTGAAAGAGGCAATGGCATGCCCTCTTCTCAGGAGTCCATTATTGGCCATTATGTTATTCTAGACCAGGGGTGTCAAACTCATGTTGTCATGGCATAATCCTATGACATATCGTAACTTCCCCCCTTTGCTAAACCAGGCATGGGTGTGGCCAGCGCTTCACATATCCAGGCTGTGGGCCGTGAATTTGACATCCCTGTATTAGACAAAACTATTTTCCAGGCTCCAAATTTACTTCATAGTAAAGGTTGCAGAGAAAGGGGTTGGTCAATAATTACAGAGGATCTTGGAGGAAATGGATTACCTGGACATGTTTCAGTTGGTTTTCACACTGGTGTACTCTATGCAGACAGTGCTAATCATGCTTGCCAATTACCTTTGGCAAAGCTGGGACGGTGCATTCATTGATAAATGCATTTAAGGGTCTGCCTATCTTAATTATTTCTACCTGCCCAGTAAGTGATAACAGAATAGTAACAGAGTCACCTGATAGAGAAGATGGGGAGCATAAACATTTAATAGATAAAAACAATAGCAAACATTACAGCTCCCTTCTATTAAATATTAAAATCTTGTGGAACTGAGGAAACTTGCCTCTAGAACAGCAACCCCTCTCTCGCCCCTCCCCCACAGCGATACAGAAAGCACTTCATGGTTCTGAAAAACACTTCAGAACTGGTTTTGGACTCAGGTTTGCGTGTTTGATATATTTTGGATTTATTTGTTATGATTTGATTGTTTTAATCGGGGCTGCTTGTGGGGTTATATACTTTTGTACTTGTGCACTCTTACCCACCACTCGCGCATAAACCATTACCTCTCCCTCCCCCTCCCCGCCAGTCCAAAAAGATATAAAAGTTGGGGATCGCTCTTCTAGTCCCATCTTAGGCCCAGAGCCAGCTAAGTGATTTTGGGTTGGTTACTCCCTCTAAGTTGTAGAAAAAAAATGGAATAGCAAATCTGAAATTCTTGCCAGGAAAACTCATTCAGGCAGTCACTAGCAGTCAACATTGCCTTGATATCAACCAGAAACATCATCATTTACTGAAATATATGATTATGGCAGAAAGAATAAATTTTGCCCCACACTGGAAAAAGATATAATCCCAACAATATTTGATTGGGAACTTAAATTTGGAAAATATGCAGCACTCGTAAAATTAACAATATATATTCACAACAGAATTTTAACTAAATGTAAGCAAGAATAACTACAGGATATCACTCAGCACAGCAAATATAAACATTTACAGTTTGGCCTCTCTGTGAATCTAAATGTTTATGAATATTATAAATTAGCAGAAGCACAAAAAGGGGAAAGTCAGAAACCAAATAACCTTGTTTTTTTCTTTTTAGTTGTTCTGCCTATTTGGTTTTGTCTATTTCTTTTTTCTTCAATATGCATCAACAGTAAATAATATTACAGTAGAGACCTTAATATTAAGTAATCAGCTTAAGACAAAAACATTTACTGTATAAAACTATTTTGATAGGATGTGCAACTGCTTTTTATTGTTAAAGTCAGCTTTGGATGTAAAAGCTAAATTATCTTAAGCTTATTAATGCTGACATTTTACATCATAATTAATACTGATATATCTTCTTTTTCATCTTTAATGGTCTAGGTCAGGGGTCACCAATCTTTGGACCTCAGGGACCACCAAACTCATAATTTTACATCCCGTGGACCAGAAACCTGGGAAAGTCCCCCAAAAGTCTATAGGAAAATTCCCCACCCTGTTTTCCTACCGATCGATCATTCTTTATTTGAGATCACAGGATACAGTCTCCAGCTCTGTTCTCAGGGGGAGAGAGAGAGAGACTTTTGGCTTCATGCAAGGAAAGCAGCAGAAGCAGCAGAAGTCTTTCTTTCTCTCCCCCAAACTCAGCCAGAAATGAGTCCTTGCTGGCACTGCCTCTTGGAGCAGGATTGCCTTGTAGGGTCCCAAAGACTAATTTCTGGCGGAGTTTGGGGGAGAGAAAGAAAGACTTTTGCTGCTTTCTCTGCATACAGCCAAAAGCAGTAGAAAGAAGCGGAAAGAAGCAGCCCGGTGGCCAGGCCAGGTGTGTGGGGCAAGTGGGGCAAATCCCCACTCCACCCTTTCCCCACTCCCCTCACTACCTCGTGTTGTTTGCAGTGCAAGCAACACAAGCCTTGTTTTCCCACGAACCATGTGGGTGGCACAGACTTGTGTCCGCGCAGCCTGGATTAATTGTTTTGGGAGGTGCTTTGGGGATGACATTTCTCTGCGGACCACCAAAATTTTCTTGTGGACCACCAATGGTCCCCAGACCACTGGCTGGAGACCACCGGTTATCTAAATATTAAGTGCCAATAATCTGTAGTCAGCACTGCACAAATGCCATGATATTGAAATAAAATATTACATATGATTCAAAGGAACAAGGTTTCCTGTTTTCTCACCTAATTCCTAAAAATTCTAATTAATGCATTTCAAAAAAAAAAAAATTTCAATGTAGTAGCCAATTTAGGTACTATAAATATTTCACATGATTTATCTGTGGGGTTTCTAGCATAAGCAAAATGTGAGTTTTAACCATATTCCAGCTGTTTTAAGATTAAAATGGCTCTTTTTGCTCTTTTTTATTTATATAAAATCATCCCAAAGGATTAACAATTTAGTAGGAAAAAGAAACTATTTTCACATTTTTATGTTCCAAGAAAGAAAAATTTATAATAGAAATATACAGATAGCATCTGAAAATGATTGATTTATAGTTTTTTAATTTCAGAATAAGAGTCACTGAAACATGGCCTGCAATTGAAATGAATCCTATTAAGTAGTACATAAAAATGATTAATTCACAGCAGAATAATTGTTAAAAAAATCTAGTTAAAAATGTTTTCATGTGCATTTACTTTTTAGATTTCAAATGCACGAATTAGTTTAAATTTCAGTATATATTCTTGGAATACTTTCAAACCGTAGGAATAGATAAGAGGATCTTTTGGAGGATGTCTATGTAGCTGAGAATCCTGAATTAGTAAATTAAAATCACTATGAGTTGACAGAGTAGAATAAAGTTTAGGAAAACATCTTTGTAGTATTTCAATAAGTTATTCTTGAGGCCATAAAAGTCAATCAGACCGATAGTGTTATTAATTAATCTTTTCTAATAAGAAAATAAAGTATAATTCAGTGTCACGAAGCTTGTATTATACACTAATTTTAGAATTACTATTAAGCATAGTAACTACCCATAATGTCCAATCCAACTTCTAGGTCTCAAGAAAAATAGTTCTCTTAGTAGAATACAGTGGTGGGATTCAAAAAATTTTTATTACCGGTTCTGTAGGCGTGGCTTAATTTGTGGGTGTGGCTTGGTGGTCATTTGACTGGGTGGACGTGGCTTGGTCACATGACCAGATGGGTGTGGTTTTGTGGACACATGACCGGATGGGCATGGCTTTGTGGGCCATGTGACTACATGGGCGTGGCCAGGTGATCATGTGACTGGCAAACCAAATACAAGTGGTCCTCGCTTAATGGCCGGTTGCTTAGCAAGTATTCTAATTTATGACTGATCTCCCCAGAACTAGTTAACCTGTTTTTGGAATTTTGACAGACAGACAGACACACACACACACACACACACACACACACACTTCTAACCCTGCTATTCTACAATTCTCTAAGGATCTCCTGCTGGAGGAAGGGGTTGGACTAGATGGCCTCCGAGATCCCTTGCAGGCCAGCCCTAGATTGCTATGCTGCTTCAAAGAGTCTTCTGAAGCCAGGGTTTGTGTCCTTCCTTCCTCTCCTTTTTTCTCTCTCTCCCTCCCTCCCTCCTTCCATGTATTTATCTATCCATATATCTCATTCACTTTTTCCTCCCTCCCTCCCTCTTTCTTTTTCTTTCTTTGTCCCTTCCTTCCATCTCTCCCTTTCTTTGTCTATCCCTTTTCTTCCTTTCGCTTCCTTTCTTTTCTTTCTTTCTTTCTCCTTCCTCTTTTTCTCTTTCTTCTTATCTCTCTCTTCCTCTCTCATTCTCTTTCCCTCTTTCTTCCCCCCTCTCTCCCCCCCTCTCTGTGTGTCTCTCTCTGCCTCTCTCCCTATCTTCCCCTCCCCCCACTCTATGTGTGTGTGTGTGTGTCTGTCTCTCTCTCTCTCTCTCTCTCTCTCAAAGCTGCGGCTGGACCAAGCGCTCTTTACTACTTTCCAGGGACTCTTCCAGCATGGCTGGCGATCCTTGTTCAGCCAATCCTTTGGGCGACCCTTCTCCTCCTCCTCTCATAACCGGTGGCTGTGGCAGATCCGGGAGGATGGCATGCACACACGAGGAGGAGGGTCACCCAAAGGGATGTTTCTAGCATGG